CTTACCTTTATGTGAATTGGCTTGCTTTAATTTTATTTTAATTTTAATTTATTTTATTTTTAATTTTATTTGTCACGCTGCTGATGACGTCACGTATGCGCTTTCGTCGGGCGCGCTTTATTCTACCGCGGTTTTGACGGGTCACGCACACCACTTACTTCATCAGGGGGAGGGGGAAAGCACGGTGTGTTGTGAAATGCACCACACCTGCCAATGCCCTGCTGACTGAACAGCCTGCCTACCCCTCCTGCCCACCAGGCACATTTAATGAGGACGACAAACCCATTGATGGGGGGAGGGGGAGGGGGGGGTATCACCACGCATTGCCCAGTCAGTCTTCAGAAAACAAGGTCAAGTTGCAAAGCAGCTGAGAATGCCAACCCCCCTGCCAGACTTGGCACTCGAAGCTTCTCGTCGGACTGGCTGCCTGTCCACCCCACAGCCCTGCTGCCTGCCTGGCCACTGGGAAGGGGTGCTGATCAAGGGAGCCCTGCCATCCTCCCCAAGCAAGGGCAACACAGTAGTGTGCCAGGGGCCTGCCTGATTCAGCATTAAGAGCAGAAGCTGCCTGGGTTAAGCAGGGTTAACTCTGAACCCCCAACTCTACTGCTGCTGCTGCTGCTTGCAGCTGGCCCCCGTTTTGGCTCCCTTGTCACAGCCCCCAGCTGTTGCCACCCTCCAGACCAGGGGTCTCCAACATTGGCAACTTTAAGCCTGGCAGACCTCAATTCCCAGAATTCCAGCTTCGCTGCTGAGGAATTCTGGGAGTTGAAGTCCACCAGGCTATAAGTTTGGACACCCCTGCTCCAGGCCACCGGCCCTGACATGCCATCTATTCAGCAAGCCAGAGGGCTGTGCATGGCTGTGCCTGCCCCATTCCTGGAAGGTCTCCCCCCTCTTGCAGTGGTTAAATCCCCCTTGGAAGGCCAGGCATTCCTCATGCTCAGAGGGTTTGTTGCATCTCTGCAGGAGTTTCTGCACCGGCCTATTTTCAAGTTCAGGATCTCCTGTGGGAACTCTTCTTTGAGAGCATCTCTCCTCTTTTTGAAAAGTAAACTTTTTTTATTTCAGTTGCGTAATGAAAGGGCTTCTCTAATTTTAGTAAAGGAAAGTTTAGCAAAAGTTTTTGAAAAGCCTAGGAACATGCTAATTGGTGTGAGCAGGTCAACTCCAGGTGTTTTGCTGAAATGAGAAGCAATTAGCATCTCCCGTGTTCTGCCCTTGTTAATTATTGTGTTAGTGTTCTACGTTCTCATTTTAACGTTGTTGTTTTTTTGCATTTTTAAAGTTTACGGTTTATTTTTCTGTGTGCTACCCAGAGAATTGCTCTAAAAATAGCAGTTTCTATTCTAAGCAAGTGGCATTGGGAGACTTCCAGGAGGAAGGCTGGGCAATGGGAAAAGCCCCATTACCATTCAGCACTCTAATCTTTTTCCCAAGCCAACTTGGGGCGGGGGGGAACCTCGGCTGAACTGCCAGCTGTTGCATCTGCCTGAAACTGTGGAAAGTTGGTGAGGCCGAGCCTCCTGCTCAAGCGAAGTCACCACACTATAAAAAAGAGGTTGAGACTCTAGAAAGAGTGCAGAGGAGAGCAACGAGGACGATGAGGGGACTGGAGGCTCAAACATATGAAGAACAGTTGCAGGAACTGGGCATGGCTGGTCTAGGGAAGAGGAGGACCAGGGGAGACAGGAGAGCATCTTCCAATATTTGAAGGGCTGCCACAGAGAGGAGGGACTCAAGCTATTCTCCAAAGCACCTGAAGGCTAGACAAGGAACAATGGATGGAAACTGACCAAGGAGAGATTCAACCTGGAAATAAGGAGGAGTGAGAACAATCCACCAACGGAACAGAA